CATTATTATTTTAACTGCTACATTGTGTGACTGTCATTTATTACATTGTATTACATTGCATGACCGAGTCATACACTGCAATTAACCTTACAAAGTGTTGTAAGTCATTAGCCTTAAAACGTTTTGTTGGTAGGTAGTACATCGCCAGCTGTAATTAAACAGAATATATAATGGGTAATGCATGTGTAGTGAGTTCAACTGAGTCGCAGACGTACTCTTGGAGGCAACATATTTACTTAACACCAACACACGGGGTAGCTGCCCCTTAACAGAATAACAATCTATGGTGGTGACCACCAGGCTAACTATACTAATTACAACGCAACAAGCTACTACAGACCGGGACCACAGCTCGCGTCCAGGTCCACGTGTTGGAAACTCGGTAGAACGTAGAACGTAAACGAAGGCTTCTTCAGGATGAACAACAACAACGGTTCTATGTTGAACTTCTTTCGCACCATAACCTTTCGTGACTGCAAGGATCCATACTCTTTGGTTCTATTCGGTAAAGTCACGTAGGTAAAAAAATAAAACAACAAAAATAGCGACGTTTCGGCCACAACACAAGCGGCCTTCATCAGGTGAAGGGACCAGACTGTCTCGAGGACAGCGCTGGAGTGAACACAGCTAAGCTCAGACCGCGACCTTTAAGCTCTGTGAGAGGAATCAAGGTGCCTTGACAAAGGAATTAGCATAAAAATTAGCATTTAATTGGCGGACTTAGCATGATGAAATGTGAACATGTGCAGGTCGGCGAGGGGGGGAGGTGTGAAAAGGGACGAGAGGGGATGCTGCAAAAGTTTGGGGTACCATACTGTACCATTGAAAATTAGTTTAATGTTTGGTTCGATTTAGAACATCTTTACAATGGTTGCTTAATTTGAAACCATCTTCTCGGTTGAAATTGTGTCTGTATTTGTAAATCTGAATTGCCTCATGAACAAATCTCTGATAAAAGGAGGAGACCTGATGGCTCATTGGGGCATTCTGTCTACAGGAAACCCACCCACACAGATTCCTTCTTGAAACCTGATTCCCACCACCACCCAGCTCAAAAGAATTCTCTCATCAAAACTTTATACCATAGGGCTCATTGCATTTCGGACCAACACCACCTGACCAGTGAATTAAAACATGTACACCTGGCCCTCAAAAGGAATGGATACTCTAACCGTACCATCCGCCATGCTGTCTCTCCCTCCATACAGAAACAACCACTTGATACGCCTGTCAAAACCATCACACTACCATATATAGCAGGCGTCACTTAAAAAAAAGATTTCCAAAATTCTAAACAAATACAAGATCCAGGTCCGGTTCAATACAGTACACAAAATTCGTGATCTGATCCCATCCATGAAGGATGTCATTCCTGACTTACAGTACCCCGGGGTTTACAAATTGAGTTGTACCTGCGGTGATTGCTATATTGGGGAGACGAAGCGACATGTCTCTGACCGAATTCGCGAGCACAAATCAGATATGAAACACGGCAGAACGAATTCTTCTGCCGTAGCTGATCACTGTTACAACGCTGTGGGTGATCACGATATAATTTTCTCCAATACCAAGATTCTTTGCAATCCCACGGGTTTTTATCAGAGATTTGTTCACGAGGCAATTCAGATTTACAAATACAGACACAATTTCAACCGAGAAGATGGTTTCAAATTAAGCAACCATTGGAAAGATGTTCTAAATCGAAACAAACATTAAACTAACTTTCAATGGTACAGTATATTTTTTCAAGTAGTGGTACCCCAAACTTTCGCAGCATCCCCTCTCGTCCCTTTTCACACCTCCCCCCCTCGCCGACCTGCACATGTTCACCTTTCATCATCCTAAGTCCGCCAATTAAATGCTATTTTTTTATGCTAATTCCTTTGTCAAGGCACCTTGATTCCTCTCACACAGCTTAAAGGTCGCGGTCTGAGCATAGCTGTGTTCACTCCAGCGCTGTCCTCGAGACAGTCTGGTCCCTTCACCTGATGAAGGCTGCTTGTGTTGTGGCGGAAACGTCGTGATTTTTGTTGTTTTATTTGTTTTACCTACGTGACTTTACCGAATAGAAACAAAGAGTAACAACAACGGTCCCTCTGGGGGACCCGGCTTATATTCTCTGCAGCGTGGCTGGCTCCACCCTTGGCCTTGACCGCCTTCCAGAATCCTCGAGCAGGATCTGGACCCTGGCAACGTGACCACCCCTAGCCCCCACTTGGGGTCTCTTTGTAGACTTAACTGGTCACGTGTCCTCTCGGATTAACCTGAGTGCCTTGGCCTTTAGTCACCTCATTCCTACGGATGGAACTCCCACACACTATCCTGTAGAGCCGGCACTGCACGCCAAGCGTGGTGCCATCCAGCGCTATCAATCAGCGCTCACCGAGCCCCTCTAGGGCCGGTACTATACCCACACCATAGTGGTATCCGCGATGTCGTTACACTGCACGCCCTGCCTCTCTAGGGCCGGCACTACACAGTGACATCTCGCGATGTATTGGATAACAAATAAAAGAGTAAATATATGTATTTGATATAATTAACCATTCCTATACTGTCTTTGTTAATCTAAGACATTCTAACACTCAGCAGTCTGTTCTGGTCCAAATTTTGAGACTTTGAGCCAATTCCTTATACGTTTTTAAGTCCTGTATGAATTTATTTTGTGTATCAGGAAACGGTGATATCTGTAGAAAACTCATATTTTTTCTTCACACGCAACATTTTAAGTCTATAGAATGGCTAAGCACACCCTATGCTGTGTGATGGCCATGCTTTAACAAGAGTCAATTAGCACATTAATGGCAAGAATGTCAATGACAGAACTGCACTCTTAACAACAAATATTTTACCTTACAGCCCTATGTCAATCCACTGCTGGATGAAGCCCTCACCATGCCACGTCTCTTGTAGGGGTTGCTTGACCATACTTCACTTGACTGATAAGTGAAATTGGTGATGAGTGGGGGTCATAGGAGCTCAAAACTAGTTTAGATATCACTCACCACAGATGTTCACCACGGCTGGGAGTCAAACCCAGGTTATCGGGTTCATAGTGCAGTTAACCACCGGACCACTGCTCCACTACCAAAATTAATGCATACCATTAGCATGTTTCATCTTTGAGAGATCTCCTCACAGTGTGTCAACACAAATGCAAATAACAGTGTTTAAATGTTTTGAGTGTTGGATTGAATGCAGTAATGCAGACAAATGAATGTAATTAAACTGACAACATGAAAAGAATGTTTAAAGGTATAGTAGTGAACCATGCTTAACACTTCATCTAAAACCTGTCTATGAAAATAGGATTTACTGATTGTATTAAAGGCCTTGATGATATGTGCATTTCGAAAGCTTGTGATAAAGTGTTTCCAATGTTGTGCTCAGCAAGTGGAACGCATTGACCATACAGCAAACTGTGGCCATAAGGCAAAACAATTGCATTATGGTTATGCACCATTCACTGTCATTACTAAACACATATAATATGAACGCTTGAACAATGATTCAAGAATACCTGTACAATTTGTATGTGCATTTGGTGGGGGGGAACAGTGGTCCTCACAATGCACTACAAACCTGGCTTAATTTACACTACAAACCTGTACTTGATTTCCAGCCTTGGCTGACATCAGATGAAAGTGATTTTTGAACCAGTCCTGGGCCTCCATTTGCTTCACACAGCCTTAATTGTTTGCTCATGCCACAACTGGCTGAAGGGTATTCTAGAGCACCCCTTTAGGAGCAATTCTGGGCTATTCTTCTTCCTGGCCAGATGTCTTGGAAGAAGTGGAAGTACCCACACCACACGCTCTCATTTAAAAGTAACGGGCTCTCTGGTTACAACATTCGACTCACAGTTGAGAGTTTCAAGTTAAACTCTCGGCCAGCGACCAACTCGGTCTCTCAGTGCTTGGTCATAAGTCAACTGTTGTTATCCCACGCCAGCAATCATCGGTGTCATAGTATCCCATTTTAGCCGGGTGCTACTGTGACTTTGACATAACCAAAAATATTCCCTATTTTTATCTTCCTTTACATTAAATTCATTGGAATGTATCTAGACGCCAAAACCAGCATAATGCTTAATTTGACTAAAATCCCCAAAATATGTGGCATAGTTATTTTAAATCGTGCAATCAAATACTTGATTCCATCAGACTTTTTTCCTGTGGTGCAATTGTCAACCTGCGTCGCTATGCAAGTTCCGGATTAGGGTGTCACACAAGCTATATCACAATATGGAATCTATCCCATGAGCTTAATTTTGGGATGTGAAGATTTTCGGAAGCTCTATTTTGTTGTACCATGTAAGGCATTTTTCAGAAGAGGATATGAGAAGCACAAGTATGTATGTATGTTGAACTTATTTCACACCATAAGCAGCCAGTTATACTAAGGACAACAAACTAAACACAAAAAGCAGGTCTAAAGAAATTCGTTTTCAATTCAGACTTAAGAGTGCATAGCACCAGTGTTTTTTTTCTGATATCGGAAGAAAGAGCATTCCAGTCGACTGCAGAAGCGAGCAACGGTGACCGTCCTTGTATGATGGCCAGCCAAAATCCGCTGTTGCGACGATGAAAAAAAACGCTGAGAGTATTTTATGTGAGTATTTGCAGTTGAAAACTATGGATGTGTATCATAATTTTGCAGCCCTTTGTCAATCCACCACTGAATGAAAGTCTCTCCATGCCATGTTAGTTACGGGGAACTGTCTGAGTGTACTTTACCATGCCGGTCATATTGTACAATTACGTGACTCATAGCAAATCTGGAGGTAATAGCACACATTTGAACCTGGACAAGCAGTTGAAGAGACAGGGGTACAGCTGAACAGATCAGGGGTGGACCTCCTACTTTGTCACCCTTCAGTACTTTAAGAAGCTGCTTATTATTAAGAATACCTTCTCATTATGCCTACAAATGTTTCAGGGCTGTGGGTGAATATGATTCTAATCAAAAGCCGTTATGCTTTGCCTATTCTCTTATTACAGATTGTCTCTGACCCTGTCCTGTCCTCTGGACCTCACCCTCTTTCCAATGGACACACAGCGCTGCAAGATGCAGCTTGAGAGCTGTAAGTTTTCTGCCCTCTTTATCCATCACAATCATGTTCTGTGTTGTTGTTATTATCATTATTGTTATTGTTCGACACGTTCTGTTGGAAATTTCGGCCAGCTCTTCCCCCATTCCCTCCTTTCAATTTCACCACACTCCGCCAGGACACTATCTCAACATCGCCATTTTGCGAGCACACACAATGCAATTTGCATTTATATAGCGTATACATGCATCCGCATCTGAAAATGCTGTACAAAGCAGTGAGACGCGAGCAATTGGACAACCCTGGGGAAATGAGGAATGCATCATTTATTATTTTATAAGCCAAAAGAGGCGGTCAGTCAGTACGCGGAGGAGACGAGGAAGGCCTTGAGCCTGGATGTAAACAGGAGCAAGGAGTTGACTCCGTGTCCTCACCGATGCGTTGCATCCCCTGGCTCTATTGTTATTATTAACCATCGTCCATCATCTCGTTCCAGCGAGATGCCCTGTGCAAGCCCACTTACTGTGTTAACGGTTTGAAGAAGGTCGTTAACCTGCACCTATTTCTCCAATCCATGTGTTCCTCGCCACATCTCTCGATGTGATTCCATGCGTGCGTCTCACCGTGCTGTTCAGCGCACTGTTTTAAGTGCTATTCCATTTTCTTCGTAAATTGCCCATATTTCTGAACCGTACATCATAGAGTAGTACACACCAATTAAACAGGTCACTGAACTCATAGGTAGATTGATTAATGAGAGCATTAGAGACACTTCCGAGCGAACAACGCGATCTCCCGTTGCAGTTGGCTACACCACGGATGACCTGCGGTTCATCTGGGAGCCGGGAGACCCCGTGCAGATGGACCAGGTCGCCCTCCCCCAGTTCGATGTCGGCACTGACAACATCGAGTACGGGAACTGCACCAAGTTCTACCAGGGAACAGGTGGGAGCGCCGTGGGAAGAATGCAGTGCCAAGGGCATCGCGTGGCAATGCATTGCCTCTTGATTGTCAAATTAATACAAAACCAAGGTGAGAGTTGTTGTGGCTGCTGGACATCATGCTAAGCAGCGTGTGCTTGCGTATGCATGCTGAACTTCTTAGCCAACCATGCTAATCGGAGTTGCGGGGGAAGGAAAGTGAGGCATCGTCGTCAATTCGTTTCCACAAATAAGGCAATAATTGAAAAGTTATTCACAAATGTGTACAGACCGTATCTCACAGTGGAAAGTCCAGTGAATGCAACAAGTTATTTTTGATTGGAGATTAAGAAACATCTGAGCTGTCGTCCCCCATCAGTCAATCATGAGTCAATTGCTCACCTAGAAGTACAGCTTATTATTGATCGGTGAATGAAGTTGATAGCGATTCAGAGCGAATATTGTATTTTCACAGAAATGCGCAAGCATTTTAAAGCGAACAACAGCCAGATATGTAAAGAGTAAATAATTTCCCCTCGACTTGAACATGCTGCAGAGCACGAGACAGGACGCACGTAGTGATCCTTCCCCCTTTCGCACTTTGATGAATTGTCACGGTTTGGGAGTGGTGATTCGAATCAAGGATTGATTTTTTTTTCGTGGCGGCAGGGGTTACGTGAACTCATTACATACAAGGTTTACAATTAAAACATAATTGATTCTTTTCATGCGTGATTCGAGGCGCGTGTCATGAGCATGGGAACTAATCTATGCATCTTCACACCTCTACCTGTGGCCGTGCGTAAGCTGGCAAGCACCTCGAGGGCACATTGCGGAAGCTAATGCAGATGCCTGATTGATTTTGCAATTAAAAAAAAAACATTATCAGAGCCTTGTGTTCATTTATTTTTGTTAAAACTGAATAATAGAACTTGAGAAGCTGTGTCCTCGTTTATTTACAACCGATGTAGAGACACTATCAATAACGTTGTTAGTGGTGGTATTATTTACGACATGTAATACGGTACTATATTTTATCCAAAGCTTGTTTAGTGCTGAGACAGCTGGTATTACAATGATTTGTTGGATCACACTCATATTATGGAACAGCTGATGTTCATTCAGGGCTGTAATAAGTTACCCAAATAATTTAGAATACAAATGGGCGAAGACGTAGTGGCCAGATCGAATGTCTTGCACCCGAAGCTGTTTGTAAAAACATTTCAGTTGGCATTGCCCCTTTCCTTAATCTCGTTTTCACCTACAAAAGTGTCACAGTGACATCATAGCGTAACACTCACTGTGACGATGGAACATCATGCCTAGTCAGGTGACACCAGGCCAAACTGAAAATAATTGTTATTCTATCAGTAAATAAGCACTGTTCTTGAAAACACATGTACCAGTATTTCATAACACATTTTTACTATATGATCATATTTTCTGACCAATCACCGAAACCCTCTACCATGCTTTGCAGCAACTCTCAATCATTGCTTGTCATTTGTTGGAAACATTGCAGCTTCGTGTCTTTAACATGGCTTGGTAGTCTTGATTCGTTGTCTCTGTCCTTCTTTCCAGGCCTCCCATGTGTGTCACATGCTCTTTTTATGAGGAAAGGTTTTTATTCTCTAATAAGAGTCCAAGTTTCATACCCGTACATTGCTATTACATGAGCAAAAGAGCTCAAAAATGTTTGCTCTGATGTTACTGAGATTTACATAACTTCTGCCTTCATAACTCGAGGCCAAATACCTCACTAAATCATGCACGAGATGTAAGCAGATGACTGCATTGCAGAAAGAGATATTTCAAAAACTAGACTTAAGATACAATTATAGTATTACTTTTGTGAAATCAATTAGTGAATGACATTTTTAAAAGTAAAGATTGACATTTCTGCGTAAAAAGTGGCTGTCACTTTGCTCAGACTGAGGTGTTGACCTTAAATCTGCGACTGAAACTCAAGAGAAGTCAATCCGACCACTCGCTGAGCTCTTGCAATGACTCACTCACTCCCCATACCAATCAGAGAATGTAAGGCAATGCATTTTTTTACCTAAAATATGTTTTTTTTAATCTTACATTTCCACAGGAATTGGAATAGGTGGTGGCTTATTTCAGCTTGTAGTTTTAACGACATTTTCCACTTTGTTATTTTTATTCGTTATTAACTGCATACAAACATTTGTTTTACATTACTTGTGAAAGGCCCACCAACATTTAAAGGTAAAGGCGCAATCCTTCAATTTCCTGCTCACACCACTGCTGGTGGACGAGCCTCCACTAAAGGGTACTATTGAGGATATTTGGCCTACTTACCCTACATTGGCCAGACGCCTTTGTAAGTGGTGGGAGTATTCACACTGATGATAATAATAAACTATTTTTCTAAAGTTAAATTCTCACAAGGCCTCGAAGCGTTTTGCATGAAGTATAAGTTACGAAGAAAGCCTGTTGTAAAAACAGGTGAATTGTAATACACAATCTTGATTAGAAGCTTTCGTGACTGCAGGAATCCACACTCTTTGGTTCTTTCGGTAAAAGTCACGTAGGTATAATATTAAAACAGTCTTAAAACAGTCTGCCTCAGCAGCAGACCATGCTTTCCCAACTTGTGTTGCGCCCGAAACGTCGTGATTTATTTTATGTTATACCTACGTCACTTTACCGAAAGAACCAAAGAGTTTGTAATACACAAATAAAAAAAAGTGTAACAGACTCAGATTCCCTAATGGACCGAGGAAGGGAATTCCACATTGGCAGAGTCTGACTGCACAAAGCTCTATCTCCCATCGAACACTTTGGTCTTTGGAATAATGAGAAGACCAGAATCAGGAGATATAGGTTTTGAGTAGTGGAATATAAAACGTAAGCAGATCGATTAGATATTTCGAAAACAACTCATTCGAGGCCTTGAACGTGAGAATAAGGATATTAAAGTCCTTGTACTTTACAGTGAGCCAGCGCAGGGAGGAAGAAATAGGAGTCATATGGTCACCTGATTTAGAGCTGGTGAAAACCCGGGCAGCTGAGTTTTGAATATATTATAATCTATTATAAAAAACTTTTAGAAATGCCAGCAATTAAAGCATTTTAACAATTCAATCTTGATTAAATAAAGGCAAGGCACCAACCTTCCAGCATCAGGAAGTGACAGCATGAGGTCTTAGTCGAGCTACTGTATGTTACATTAAAAAAAACAGATTTTGGTAATATTGCGTACATGGGCCTCAAATGTCAAACTGGGGTCTGAGATAACACCCACGTTTCTGACCTCAGAGGAATACCGAATTACAGTCCCGTCTATGGTCACACTAAAGCCATCAAATCTGCACACTTGATGTGGAGAACCCAACAGCATAATCTGTCGCATCACAATTTAATTTAAGAAAGTTTAGGTGCACCCACGATTTTACTTCAGCAAGACAAGAGTACGGAAGCTGCTACTTTGGTATTCATCATAGTCTTAAGATAAATATGTGAGTCATCAGCATGAAAGTTTAATTTAAGCTATGTCGAAGAAAACTTTGGCCAAGCAGTAGCATCTACAGCCTGAATAACAAAGGCCCCAAATTGAGTCCTGAGGAACCACCGAGAGGACACTAAACCACCCATTATGACAAACTGCTCCCTGTTGGACAAGTATGACATGAGCCAAAAGAGAGGAGTACCCGAGATGCCTACTAAAGTCTCAAGACAATTTCGCAAAGTAAAACGATCAACAGTATCGAAAGCAGCACGAAGATCCAAGATGGCTAGGGCACCATATTCGGCAATCATGAATAAATTATAATTGACAAACTTGACAAGTGCTTTTTCTGTACGATAAATTGTTCTAAATCTCGACTGAAATGGCTCAAACAATTAAATTCTGAAAGATGCTATTTTATCTGCTGAGCAACACCATGCTCAAAACTTTTGGGCAACGATATGTTCGACATTAGTCTATAAATTGCTTGACTTTCAGGGGTCAGTTTTGTTTTCAGACGTAATGGAATAACGACGGCCAATTTTAAAAGCATTGGGCACGACACCAGTGTTAATTCAGTCATTATAGATACGACTGGGGGACAAATTACATGAACAAGTAATGCAACCAGAGAAGTTGGAACAGGATCTCAGGAAAAAGTTGTTGGCTTTACTTTGGAGGCAGGTCAGAGAAGCGTGATGTGGGCGGCACGAAATTGAATTTTCCAAGACGGAGGTAATCTGCAAACCTACCGGCTACCTTCAGAGATTTGTTCATGAAGCCATCCAGATATATAAACACAGACACAATTTCAACCGAGAGGATGGGTACAAACTTAGCAATCTTTGGAAGGATGTTATTAACCAGGTAAAGTCTTAACTAACTGTGATGTTTCCATCCTACCTGCCTATGTCAGCTGTTATTTCCGATTATCTGTGTGTCTCTCTCTCTATTCCTCTCTCTCTCTTAGAAATCTCTCATGCTCACATGTCCTTTGCATTGCACTCTCATGCCTTTGGATTGCACTCTCATGCTCACATGTCCTTTGGATTGCACTCTCATACTCACATGCCCTTTGGATTGCACCTGTTGGGTTGCACTCCCTCGTCGAGGAGGCCACTCTCCTATCTTACAGTTACATGCTAATTTCTTACATTAACATCACTAGCCCAGGCCACTTCTTTATGACCCTTGGGCTACACCCATTTCAAACCTTTTAAAACACTCTGCCTCAGCAGCAGACCATGCTTTCCCACCTGATGACAGACGCTTGTGTTGCGCCCGAAACATCGTGATTTATTTAATTTTACACCTACGTGACTTTACCGAAAGAACCAAAGAATATGGATTCCTTAAGTCACGAAAGCTTAAAATTAGGAATAGTCAATGGAATACAAGAATAAAAACATCTGAAGGTTGTTTAAATATGACTCAGGAGTGGAGGGGCAAGTCATGTTTTGCTGAATGAAGCTAGTTGTAATTACTGGTGAAACGTCATACTCAGATTGTAAATGGTGTGGCTTGGCTCTCCAATACACCGGTGTGCTGTACTAGTGATTAATTGGCATGTTCTGTTTACATGACAACCCTTGCTAGTTGGCTGTGTCGGGTGGTGGCAGGTTTTAACGACACATTCATATATTTCCGCTATCTAACCCAAAAAACCTCTATTATGGAAGAAACGTATAGCAATGGACAATGTTACCGGGTAAGATTGGTTTAGAATTTGATGTTAACATTGATCAGTTGTAGAAAAAAATGTGTTCTTGGGTTGCTATAGCCGTCCTTAATGACCATAGAGATGAATGCGGACCTTGTCGAGTTTAATGCGTCACTATACATATCCTGATGCTGCTTCCAGATCAGAAAATTAATCTCCAGACCTGTATCCCTCCATCTAAGCTTTATCCCACCACATGCGACCTACCGATCGACTAACCATGGTGTTCAATGCGCTTCATTTTACAACAATAATAATATTATTTCAATTATCAAACTATCTGTTCGAAATCATTTTAATCTATGCCAGTGGTTCTTAACCTTGTTGGAGGTACCGAACACCACCAGTTTCATATGCGCATTCACCGAACCCCTCTTTAGTGAAAAATAAAATGTGATTTTTTTCAAATTCAAGACATAGATATGTTTTTTACTGGTACACAAAATGAGCCGTGCATGAACATTACCTTGTTCAAAGAATAAAACCAACACAATGCATAAACTCACAACAAATTACATACCTGGAAATCAATGTGACTTCTGCTGTTGCCTTTGAGAGATCAGTTCAGATATGCGTGGCTTCACCTTGGCAAGTGCCACTCTCATGTCATTTTCACAGCAAAGTCTGTTCCTTTTCTTCGTTTTTATGTCCAGCATCCTCGAATAGGATTGCTCACAAAGATATGTTGTAACAAATGGTATAAAAAAATCCAGGGCTTTCTTAGCAATAACTGGATACTTGTTCATTTGTCGACACCAAAACGTTGAGAGCGTTGTTGTTCTGAAGAGTTGTGGTTGAACCTGGCTCTGCTGAATTTCAATGATTCCGTCGAGGAATTCATCATTGACATCTGCTGTTTCAACAGCAAACGTGAACGGCTGTCTCACCCATGCTGGATATGACTCTCTTGTAGGGAAATATCCGTCGAGAGACTTTGCAAGCTCATCTAAGTGCGTGGCAATTGTTTGCTTCAGTTCCGTGGATACAGAAATATCTCCGATTCCAGACACATCTTCGATCTTACTTGCACAGTCGTCCAGAAGCGGGAAGTTTGCGAAGTTATTGTTCTCTGTTCGTCGTTTCCATAACGGTAGCTTTTTTTGAAAAGCCTTCAGGTGTTCTTCCGCTTCCATGATATTGACTCCACCACCCTGCATCTGCTGATTGAGATGATTGAGAGCTGCGAATATATCAGCCATGTACGCTAAAATGAGAATGAACTCAGGATTTTTGAAGCAATCTGCATGGCAGTGTTGGTGCTCTTGCAAAAAAAGGGCTAATTCCACACGCATGGCAAAAACACGATTCAGCACCTGTCCCCGGGATAACCACCGAATATTAGAATGGAGCAGAAGTACCTCAAATTCAGAGCCCATTTCTTTACACAGCTCACTGAAGATGCGGTGCCTCAGAGCACTTTTTCGCACATAGTTCACACATTCCACCACAGTTTTTAATACTTCTGCCATTTTTGGAGGTAAGGTTTTTGTTGCCAACGCATGCCTGTGCAGAATACAATGCGTCACAATGATGTGTGGTGCATCGGCCTTTACTAGCGCACCAAAACCAGACTTTCTTCCCAGCATGACTGGAGCTCCGTCCGTACAAACTGCAGAAACCATATCCCATGAAAGATTGTTGTCTCTGAAGAAGTCATCCACAAGCTTCTTCACATCGGCTGCCTTCGTTGTTGTTGTAAGAGGCTTACAAAATAAAAACTCTTCTTTTATCATGTCGTCTTTCACATAGCGTACAAAAACAGCAAGCTGGCTTAGATCAGAAACGTCTGTGGTTTCGTCGAGTTGAAGGCTGAATTTTGCCGGGCTTGAAATCAGATCCGCGACTACTTGAGCCAAGATGTCTTTAAATTTCGATTTAAAGCTTTCGTGACTGCAATGATTAATCTTATTTGGTTCTTTCGGTAAAGTCACGTAGAATATAGCATTGTGATATATAACGACTTATTGTTGGTAGCTTAGCTGATTGGAGAATATAGAGTTTATTGATAACATGAAGGTAATTTATATTTTAGTTTTTATTGGTTCACTATATAGTACTGTGAATAGCTCAGATGTGTAGTCATTTCTGTGACCAGTCACTAGCAAATCACTCAGTTATTTCAATGCTAAATTCGCCTAGTTATTTCAATGCTAAATTCTCCTGTTTGATTTGTACTAAGTGCCTCGGTGAATGTGTATGCTCTGACTTCAACGTAGCTATTTCTGTAGCAGTTACAAGCGAATCACTCAGCTATTTCAATGCTAAATTCTATGCTAATTCCATTGTCAAGGGGTGCCTCTGCGGATGTGTATGCCTTAACTTAACTATTTCAATGCTAAATTCTATGCTAATTCCTTTTAACAATGGGTGCCTCTGCGGATGTGTATGCTTTAACTTTTAACATAGCTATTTCTGTGACCAGTCACAAGCTAATCATTCAGCCATTTCAATGCTAAATTTTATGCTAATTCCTTTGTCAAGGCTCTTTGTTCCTCTCACACAGCTTAAAAGCCGTGATCTGAACGTGGCTCTCTCACTCCAGCGCTGTCCTACCAGACAGTCTCGCCCCCTTCACCTGATGAAGGCCGCTTGTGTTGTGGCCGAAACGTCGTGAGAATATTATTGTGTTATTTTATTTTATCAATTTATTATTTTATTCTCATTCTACGTGACTTTACCGAAAGAACCAAAGAAGAAGATGTCTTTACTCATGTCTTCTATTCTGTCACTGACGGTGTCATTTGAAAGGGGAATTTGGGATAATTTACCTTCGGCCGCTGTTCCGAGTATCAGATTCGCCATCTTTAATGCAGCTGGTTTCACAAGTGTTTCACCAATGGTGTGTGGCTTGCCCTGCTTTGCGATCAGGTAAGCAACTTCGTACGATGCTGTCAGGATCGGTTTGTTAACAGGTACAAACCCAAGAGCAGGCAGAGTGGCCCTTTCATCGAATCTGGCTCTCTTCACCCTGAATTCAGCAAGTGTTGTGTTCTTGTATTCCCCGTCTCCATGCAGCTTCAAGAAGTGTTCCTTTAGTTTTGCCGGTGCAAGACTAGAGTTGCTCAACTTGGCGTTGCAAATCATGCAGATAGGACGCTCACTCCCTTCACGTTCCGTGATACATGAGAATCCATGTTGTACATATTCGTCCGACCACTTTCTTCTTTTGCCCGACATAGTTAGTATGGATAAAATATTAAAGAAATCACACGACGTACGACAACAACAGTCACACGTTGACTACTGAGTACGCACTAAATTCCCCGCAGCGCTGATTGGCCAAGCAGTGTAGCATGATCATCTGCAGCCAGTGATGGCCAAGCGGGCCGTGTGTGTCATCACAAATTTACACAATAATTCAAGTGTGTCCGGACCTCCGTGGCGGGGGCTCTGCCAAACCCCTGAGATCGACTCACCGAACCCCTGGGGTTCGATCGAACCCAGGTTAAGAACCACTGATCTATGCTGAAAATACTATGTTTGCAAGCCTCGTTAATCACAACACCCATGTGAGTCCTTTCCGAAAAAGACATTATCGCAGGAAGCCTGTAAAAGTTTTTCACCCCGAGCCCGACGGTTGTGTGGGATGTGTGTTGTCTCGCTGCAGGGTACTACACCTGCGTGGAAGTGATCTTTACACTACGGCGACAGGTCGGCTTCTACCTGATGGGGGTCTACGCCCCGACCCTGCTGATTGTGGTGCTCTCGTGGCTCTCCTTCTGGATCAACCCCGACGCCAGCGCTGCCCGCGTGCCTCTCGGTAAGCATTCCGAACACCTCTTTGCCAAACAGGGATATAGTGCCTGCAATGCTGCGATGCTGAACTACATCTGCTGTGCTGTGAAGATGTAGTTCATTTTTCTGAGCGTGGGTTATAGTTGTCTATTATAGTTGTCTATTTCTTCATCATCACCGTTATCATCAGGCATCATCAATCCACCATCGCGTCAAATCCTCCCCATGACGTCATCACCTCCCACGATCCTGCGATGTGACAATCCACTTGGCGCCTGCACATGAGCTGATTTGACTGATCCATCTCCTCTCGTGTGCCTTCCATGCCTGGGCTACCAATGTGTCATTTTTCATGACAAATGTCTGACATCCCATCTAGCGATGTGTCCTGCCCAGGCCATCTTACTTTCTTATCAGTTTGAGTGTTCTCTTCTTTAGGTATCTCAATGTGTTTACTAGCCTACACATATACCTGCTTCTTATGCACCTTTGGAATTCAAATGCACATATTGGCCTGAGATGAAGTACTTTTTAAACTTATGTTTGTAAGTACGAATGGAGAGTAAGTCTGAACAGAGAGTGTGTACATGTTTTGGAAATTAAGCTAAAAATTGTATTATTTCTACCTACATGACTTTACAGAAAGAACCAAAGAGTATGGATTCCTGCAGTCACGAAAGCTTCAAATAAAGATGGAATTATCAAATTAATAATTTTTCAACATGTCATTGCCCTTTCATTCATATTGGTGGGTATTGGTGACAGACCCGGCAGAACAATCGATACATACATATGTAGAAATCAGTGTTCATGAATGGAGAGATTGAGATTGGGATTGGGAAGAACACATCAAGACAGAAATAGTAACATAGATCATAGAAGTTTAACACGTCGGCTTTCGCGACCAATATCATCCCTAATAGAGTTTTTTTTGGGGTTAGATTGTGTAAATATTTGAATGTGTCATAAAAACCCGCCACCAGCCGACACAGCCAACGTAAACAGAGCATGCCAATTTGTCACTAGTACAGCACACTGGTGTGTTGGAGAGCCAAGCCACAACATTTACAATCTGAGTACGACGTTTCGCCAGTAATTATAACTAGCTTCATCAGACGACAGCCATATTTGTGGCGAAGTCTAACTGTTTCGTTCCTTTTATAGAGGCATAGATGTGGTGACCACGCTTCTTGTGTGCAAAGTGGGGGAGGGGGATTAGAGTCAACGTACGTTATGCATGTGCATTATACGAGCCCTTTGATCTTGTCCTTCCTGTCTATTATGTGTTTAAAAATAGCCGTATCAACGGTAATCTCGATTGAAGTATGCTGCCCTTTATAGGCATACATTTAAATTATGTATTATTTGATTATTCGCTTCCACGCAGCACTAAGGTGGTAGCTATCCGAACGGTTACAATTATTTTTACTTCTTTCAATTTCGATAGATTATCTAATTAGTCTTGTGACTTCTCTGTTCACGAGGGTTCCGGTCATTGAGTCAATTAAATTTCTCAACACTCTGGTAACATACAAAGGTTTAGCCAAAGATATCCCAAGACCATCTGAATACTTTATAAAAAAAACACCTACTTCGTGTGCCAAGGTGACTTCTATAAACAAAAGGAAGGAGCAGAAATCGGCTCTCCTTTGTCTCCTGTGATAGCGAATTTGTACATGGAAGACTTTCAAATAAAAGCAATAGCTTCAAGCACACTAAAAACATCTGATTGGTTTAGATATGTGGATAACACATTGGTGGTCTGGCCACACGGCAAAGATACACTGAACGCATTTCTAAATCATGTCAACTCGCAAAACCCATCCATCTAATTCACCATGGAAGTGGAAGCTGACAGAACACTACCATTTCTGGATATTTTGCTAGGACGGGGCAGTAATTATAAAATAACACACTGTGTTTACCGAAAGAAAACGCACACTGACGCCTATCTGAATGCAAAGTCATACCATCACCCCGCACAGAAATCTGCTCTTATCGAGACACTCATTCATCGAGATGAGAAAGTATCAGATGGTGACAGTCTGAGAAGTGAAATTCAACATGTTAAAGTAGCACTGCAAATGAATGGTTACAATGATGCAAAAATCAACAGGGCATTGAATTCCAAAACCAAATAAAATAACACGAGCATTGAAACTGTCCAAGTAATTAAATATTTAAAAATACTGTACACTGCGGGAGTAACTGATAAACTCGCCAGATGTGTGGAAAAACAAAACATCTGAGTCAGATTTGGCACGGTACAAAAAATACAGAAATTAATATCTGGTACAAAAGATGGATTACCGAAGCTATCAACAGAAGCTGTGTACAGGATTAACTGCACGTGTGGGATATGTTATGTTGGGCAAACAGGACGAATGATCAGCACGCGACTAAAATAAAATAAAAAAATATGAAATTATCCTAAATACAACCTCAGCAGTAGCAGAACACGAGTACCAACAAGGACACTCAATTGTTTTTGATAATGTTGAAGTTCTATGCAAAACTACCTACTACAAGCAAAGACTAATTAGATAATTTATCGAAATTGAAAGAAGTAAAAATAATTGTAACCATTCAGATCGCTACCGCCTTAGTGATGTGTGGCAGCGAATCATCAAATAATACATTATTTAAATGCATGCCTATGAAGGGCAGCATACTGCAATAGGGATTACCGTTGGTATGGTTATTTTAATACACACAATAGACAGGAAGTAAAAGATCAAAGGGCTCACATAATTCACATGCATAATATACGTTGACTAAGTAAACGCCCCCCCCCCCCCTCCCTTTGCACAAGAGTGCAGAAGTGTGGTCACCACATCTACGCCTATATATAAGGAACGAAACAGTTAGACTTAACCACAAATCTGGCTGTCGCCAGATGAATCTAGTTGTAATTACTGATGAAGCGTCGCACTCAGATTGTAAATGTTGTGGCTTGGCTCTCCAACACACCAGTGTGCTGTCCTAGTGACGAATTGGCCACGTTCTGTTTACGTGACAACCCTTACTAGTTGGCTGTGTCGGCTGGTAGCGGGTTTTAACAAAACATTTATATATGTACGCGATCTAACGCAAAAAAAAACCTCTTATGGATAGATCATATAATATTAGATGGAGACAGACATAATGAAAAGGACAGGTTAAAAAAACAGAGATTTGATACATTGACAAATGTGGAAACTGTCAAAAACAGACATAGGTTGGATACTGAAAGCCAGCAAAACACATTCAGAGTTTACACATTTCTCTGTTTGCATTAACGTAATATGTAATAAAGAAATAGCTTTCATTTCATATAGATCGTGAGAGAGGAGATAAAGTACCAATGCATAACATCTGCATGTCTTCCATCAGGTCCACGTGGTCTACATCCTTGGTTGATGTTCCAATCCATGTGTTAATCTAAAAAAAAACATCTGTTGATTCAGTGAAACAATAACTAAACTTACAAACACACATTCATTTGGCAATGCTGTCTTATGAAATGCGAACGTCTCCCTCTGAATCATTCACTCTATATATGATACACAGGGTTGCTTGTTATAATTCATTCAGATTTCATGAAACAAATATTGTGGTAGCGTTGGCAGGAGTACACGAGCACAAATAACAATTGCTGTTCTTACAGCAACTTCATGCCATTTTTTTGTTATAGTCTTCCGTTTTTTACAACCGGCATTCATCGTTCCCAATTTCAATGAATGCATATTATTTTATTATCAGATTTCTGCCACTCAATAAGCTTTGTATTCACGTCTTGTCATTGTGTAGTGTGTTGTACGGAGGCACACACTGGAGTTGGAGGCAACACGTTTATTTAACGACCCAACAGGGTTAACTACATGAACGTACACTGGTTGTACATCTTGTTGATAACTACACGGTTAACTAGCCCACAACGGGGTAACTACATAACCCAGTCAGTCAGTAATATACTGCCCGATCCACGATGCCGAGCATAACATCGAAGACCGAAGATCGAAGAGACGTAGCACCGACGGGTTCCATTTCAACAGAGAGCCCAGAACCCTCTCGGGACTGCCTCTTTTTGCTCCTGAGCATGGCCTGGCTCCGCCCTCAGCCACGCCCTCTTCTAGATCCTACTAGAAGGCTCTAGCCCATACCACGTGTCCCTCGAGCCCCCTTTTGGGCCCCCTTGCTAGCATGCCCCGGCAACGTGCCCTCTCGGGTTCACACAGAGCATCACGTCCTCACTTGCTCGCTCTCCGACCCTCACCAGAACTATGCCCCTTAGGGCCCGCTTCCATGCCATATCCGCTCTGGTGCCAAAGAGAGACTCAAGATGTACATTTCCACTCTTGTGACAGTAGCTGCAGCTAAACACCATAGTGACTCCATATGAGTAACTACATCACCACCCCCCCACCCCCTTAATAAAACACAGCTGTATCGGCTGATAACTATTCCCTTAACCATAACAACAACAGCAACAAGAACCAACAACCCCCAAAAAATGCCTCCCAAAATAAAAAAAAGGTAAATTTGGATGCTTTGTTATTTGTTTCATTAAAAATGTACATTGTTCTTTTTTTTCGTTAAAAAATGTTCAATATACACCTCAATACAATGTAGCTACTGTTGTGCGTTTGGTAGGTGACAGCCAAGTCAAAGTACTCCTCTGCTAAAATCAGTAATGAGGTCCCTCCCACGCCCCTTCTATCCCTTTACTTATGTTCATCTTCCCTTATCTCCTCCCCCCCCCCCATTTAAAAACCTACGCTCCAGCTCATGGTCCCTTCCTGGGCGAGGCAAATGAGCACAATGTTCTCATATACCCTCAACCCAGGAGCACTGAGTTCAGGATTTTGTCCGCGGAGTTTCTGTGCCCCTTCCCCTTGTCATGATCTGTGCTTTGTACTGGAGTCTTGTTAAATAAATAAACATAATCAGCAATGGGCCAGAGTTTATCTCCAATTTAGGCCTTCTGCCGGCAGTGGCAATTACACATTCCCGTGGCAGATGCCTCCCTCTCCGTAATAAAACCAA